GGCATGCTGCGCGCCACGTCGCGCTTCGCGACCTTGCGCAGGCTGCGCACGATGAGGCGCACCGTCTTGACAAACAGCGCCATGGTCTGCTGCGCCGGCAGCCGCAGCTCGTCGGCCACGTCGTCGACCGACTTGCGCTGCAGCCCGATGCTCAGCAGCAGCGACGACTGCAGCGCCGACAGCCGCAGCTCCTCCTCTTCCTCCTCGTCCTCCTGCACCTCGCTCTCGTCCTCGCGCACGGCGCGCAGCCGCCCGTTGAAGTAGAGGGCGGCCAGCGTCGGCACCAGGTCGAGGATGACGGACAGCTCGACCATGTTGCTGCCGTACGAGTCGAGCCGCTTCATGTCAAACGGCGTCAGGAGCATCCCGAGCTCCGCGGCGCCCAGCGCCGGCGCACTGGCCGCCTGGCCCGCCTCCGCGTCGAGCTTGGCGCCCTGCGTCGCCGCCTCGAGGATCGTGAGCGCCGTCACCGAGGTGAACTCGCGGAAGCGGTACGAGAGCAGCGAGATGAAGCGCCGCCGGAAGTCCTTGGCCAGCGCGCCCAGCCACGCCGATCCCGACGACGTGGCGCCGGACGACGACTCGGCCAGCGCCTTGATCTGCACCGTCGAGTACTCGCCCGTCAGGTCGTTTGGCAGCTGGCGCACCCAGAGCGGGACGTAGCCGTTGCGCTTCCAAAACTTGAACAGGCTCGGCGTCAGGCCGTACGACGTGCCGATCCAGTCGAGCGGCTCCGGGCGGCGCTCCGAGAGGCGCTGCAGCAGCGCGGGCATCTTGGCCGCGTCGCGCACGGCGATCTCGTCGCCCTGCAGTCCGGCCTGGCCGTCGACGCGGCGGTCGCGGGCGGCGGCAAACGTCTCCCCAGAGTCGAGGTCGTCGCGCACCGCGTCGGCATCGAGGAGCTGGCCGCGGTAGAAGGCCTCGAGCGCCTGGAGCGCGCGGCCGCCGTAGCCCATGCTGGCGTAGTCGGGGTGCACGGCGATGCGCACCACGCGCGCGCCCGAGAGCGAGGCAAGTCGGCGTCCTGGAACTGCTGGGCGACGACGCCACGGGGAGTCAG